TTGCAGAACAACAGAAACAGCGCGCAGAAGTATACATGCACAGCTATGCGTGTTGCATGCGCCATGGGTCACGCCGATCACTTGACGCTGAAGTATAAACCAGGCTTTAGCTGGCCCATATAAGCAGGGCAGAGCAGGATTCTCGCGATGACCACGAGCGCAATACTGTTTTCATGAGCCACAGTTTCAGTTTAAACTTAGTGAAGGCGAGCTTCTTTGGCGATGATGTGTACAGAGTTAGGTTTTACATTCAGCGGACATTTACATTTACATTGTGCTGAATGCGCGGTGAATGCAATGCTACAAGATTCAGGCCATTAAACAGCTAATCCACTCTGAGTCTTTCAGTGCTCTTTCCAAAAGCACTCGGTTGATCTTGGCTGGTGGATTAGCATTCACTACATGATGGCTCTTATTGGTGCCATTAATAATAACTCTAAACGGGTTTGCAAACCTGTGTACTTTTCATGTACTGTTTCTTACTCAGACTTCAGCCACAAAAGCCTCCTTTCATCCCAACGAGGTGCGCCTGAAAAGCACGAGCTCGCTGCGTCGTGTGCGCGTCGCTCTAGTGGAAAAATGAACGTGCACAAGCTTGCCTAAGTTAATAGCCTCAGTCATAGTTAATCTATTGTGCGTGGTTATTAGTCTCAGTGACTAAACTAGCGCACAGTTTAGTTGCAGCAGTTTTGTTCCGTGCAGAAACACAGTGTTGCAAAGCCTTTACAATTAATTAACCGTGATGAATTATAGCGCAGTTAATAGTGAAACCGGTTAATCCTTTCATCCTTTCTTTCCAACTTTATGGAATATCAAATTCCAACAGTCTCTATCCCTCTGCCTACTTGGTGACATATCCACATTAGACATAAATTATATAAATGGTCAATTACTACTGGTGGCTCTATCACCAAGAAAACTATCCTCATGAACTGGAAATCAAGAAATACCATTCACATTTCATCTTGAAAAAATAAACAGAATACATCTCCGTAAAGATCCTCTTTGTCTGAACCCATTCTACAACAACACCTTCATCAGTACATAAACATAAGGAGAGGGGGGCGAGGGGTCAGTAAGGGGTAAAAACTGTGTCTAATATTAAATGTAATTAAATATCATAAATAAGGGGGGAAAATGATTTAGTATAAATTTTTATTAGCATTTCCCACATCATAATTCTGTTTTTATGTACTTTATTTCCCCTCTTGTTTTGTTAGTTTATTTTCTTTTTTTCTCAAATTTATTTTATCATTATTTATTTATTTTTCTTTTTACCTCAGTTTTTTGTGACATCTTCAATGTACAGCTTGTATTAGAGGTGAATACGAAGTGGTGTCTTGTTTCACCTGTTCTATCCCTGGCCAGTCTAACACTAGATTAAAAAATTGAAAAATTCTGAATAAAATTAAGATCGCCAGCTGCTTTGTCACCAGGACGTGGAGATGGAATAATTTAAGATTTTAAACCCAGTAAATAGGCGAGAAAAAAACTAATAAAGGCACAAAAGTAGCATCTAATATTATGCGGCGCACACACAGCATATATATATATATATATATACACATATATATATATATATATATATATGTGTGTGTGTATTATTTCGGCTAGAATAAAAGCAGTTTAGTTCATTTTAGGGACAAAATTATTAGCTTTATTACCTTTAAGCTAATTTTTGCCTTGATAATTTACAGAACAAACCATCATTATACGATAAAATGCCAAATTATCCTAACCTGCCTAGTTAAACTAATTAACCAAGTTAAGCATTAAAATGTCACTTTAAGCTGTATAGAAGTGTCTTGAAAAATATCTAGTAAAATATTATTTACTGTCATCGTGGAAAAGATAAAATAAAACTGTTATTAGAAATGAGTTATTAAAACAATTATGTTTAGACATGTGTTGAAAAAATCTTCACTTTGTTAAACAGAAAATGGGGAAAAAAATAAACAAGCGGTCTAATAATTCAGGGGGCTAATAATTCTGACATCAACTGTATATCTATATATATATATATATATATATATATATATATATATATATATATGTACTCAAGTAAAACTCAAAATGGTGTAAAAAAATATATAAACATTTTTGCCATTACACTTCTTATTTACGTTATAGTGACAGTATTCTTTAATTTTATAGTTTTTGAACATGTAACAAGAAACATTATTGAAAAGAAAATAACATAGCCATTACCTCATCCATGGTTAAACCAACAACTACTAAAATACCATTGTGAACATTATGAACCCCACCACCACCATTCTTGTTGAAGGACACTGAATAGACAGAATAAAAACAAATATTATTTCAAAGAACTGTTCCTCATCTGAAAGATCTTTTTTCTGGGGACCTTTTACCAAAGCTGGTAAATGATTTAATCACCTGACAACAGTGCTTTACAAGATTTTCAACAGGAAACCTAACTAACTGCCTCACGAGACTCTTTTCCATGACTCCCAGGTCATGTGCTCATGTGGGACATCTTGTTGGACACACACTTTCGTAGAGACAAAGGATCTCTGGAATTAATGCATATGAACCAAATACAATCATTTGAAGTGTTACAACTAAGGCAGATGTATCCTTAAATAATATGCCATAGTTTTCCTCATACAGTTTTTCCACACGATTTTCCACACGATTTGAACGTGCACGATTATCATACCATGAACAATTGCATATCAACGGTTTTAACCCTTAAAGACCGAGACAGCCGCCCGCGGCTAAAAATAAGTATTGCTCTTAAATGTTTAATAACTTTTGATCCGCTGATCCGATTCATACAATTCAAAGATTGGCATAAAGAAGAGAATCTCAGCTTTCCAGTGCTGTATCACATAACTGATTTGACAAAGAAACGCTCGTCACTGTGTCTCCGGACAAACCAGACATGATACATTGATGCATTGTCCCTCCTCCATGCCGAGATTGGTTCAAACTCGCTATATCATAACCAATAAGCATAGGTTTCGCTTTTGTTCGTGGACCAACAATGAGCTTTTTGAACAACACGGAATGAGAGATAGGCATACATTTATGTGCAGCTAAATAAAACGCAAAAAAAAGAGTTTTGCATGAAATAATTCTCATACTAAGTACTTTTGCATGCACAGGAGCACAGAAACATGACAAAACAGTGACACAGCAAAGACGAACTGCTGCTCTTGCTGTTTTCAAAAGACGCAAATGAAGGTGCAGCTGTTTGCAGACAACCATATCCATATCCATAGACAACCATATCCATGCTGGCACATAAAACCTAAGGATGTTCCATATTGAATCTAGTTTCGTTATGTAACTATTTATAGTATAGTAAATATTTATATCTATTTTTTTACAGAGGATTTGCACCATGTTTATTTGGACTTTGACACATTATTTATTATTTTCTTATTTTTTTATTTGTTTATTGTACGTGGTGTTGTTTATAGTAACTGAAAATATATTATTTGGAAAAAGTCAAATTTGCTTCACTTTTCTATTATTTTGTAACATTTTTTTTCTGTTTAGTTCATTCCCAGACCTTTTTGGGCAAATACATTGTCAGTAAATAAATGCATTTTTTCCCCCATAGAAAAACCTTTGTTCAGTCAGAAAACGTGTTGTTATTCTTTTCAGGGTCTTTGCTATGAGAATTACTATTTAATACCGTATACCGCGAAACCATCAAACCGTGGTATTGTTTTAGACGATTATCATACCGTAAAAAATTCATACCGTTACAACCCTAATTGCAACCATTTTACAAACCAAGTTAATCAATGTGTTTTTTCTTAACCCTGAGCGGATGAAACCCTCTATGTGTTTGAAATGTATGGTGTCTGGTACTAAACGGAAACTAGTAACAATTGCAATACATTGGTGTACATGAAAAACTAGTTGTACAAACCATTTTTGTCTGGCAACATTTGATGTAAGTTAATTCCAAACTTACAAGAGATTTCACCAGTGAAATTAACAAGCAGTCTGTTACTGACTGATCCTAAGTACGATGGTACGGTGTGGCCGAAACCGCAAGAACTTCTGCAAACCAACTCTCATCAAAGTTCGTCACCTCTGTAACCCAGGACGACCACCACTCATGAGCGAGTGAATCCCAAAGACGTCACTGAAGTGAGTCACCAATCAATCAGGAATGCCATGTTTCCCTGAGGCCAGCCCAGCGAGGGAAACAAGATTAGTTAGTTTCATGTATCAGAGTGTAGCTCAATAAATCTTTCTTTTAATTTTGGTAAGAACTGTGTTTGTGTTAATGTGCTTGTAAGACATTTCCTCAAGCTGTAGATTTTGTTACCTAGCTAAAATTTAACCCAACACTGTGTTATGTTATTATCGTTGGCCACGGAAATAATATAAGCAAGATTGGTAAGATACAATGTCTTCTATTTGCTGGACAAATGGTAGATAAAGTGTAAATCCCTGATCGACCTTTTAATGTAGGTTGATACCCTACACTATAATCTTCTATGTTAAGCTGCTTTGACACAATCTACATTACAACAATTGAATTGAAATCTCATTACTATCATTATTAGTATTTCTACCATTGTCATCATTCAGGTAGCTGTTGTAGAGCAAGTTGTAGTAGTAATAGTAGTAGTTGTTGTTGTGGTTATAGCAGTTAGGGATGCAACGATTAACTGGTTTTACTATTAACCGCACTTTAATTTAATTCATTCATTCATTTTCTAGTCGGCTTATTCCCTTTATTAATCCGGGGTTGCCACAGCGGAATGAACTGCCAACTTATCCAGCGTTTTTTTACCCAGCGGATGCCCTTCCAGCCGCAACCCATCTCTGAGACACATCCACATCCACACACACACACACACACACACACACACACAACTGGAGCACCCAGAGGAAACCCCTGCGAGCGCAGGGAGAACATGCAAACTCCACAAAGAAACGTTGGGATGACAGGGGGCTTTTTTGCTTCATGCTTCATTTATTTTTTACGCAAACCATAGAATTATTTTTCATAAAGTAACAGTAGATGTGTGTGTGTGTGTGCGTTGGTGCGACCGGACTGTTGGGACAAAACACCTGAATACATACCGTCACTATGAGCACACACCGTAACTGTTGGAACAGCGCTACTGTCCCGATAAGTCGGGCGGCATACACGTGTTCTAACATGCGTGACTTACTACCTCCCGCGTTTTCTCGTTATGTCCTAATGTTTACGGTGAACCCGTTTTTCTGTGTGTATCAGTGTATGCTCATTGTGTATAATCTCCCACTATCGTCCCTTTCCTGCTACTGCTGCTCCATACACATTAGAGCGCGTCACAGTCGCGTTTCATTGGTCTAGCCGCAGAACTTCTCGCCCGCGATTGGCTGGATTTTTATCGCCTTTCATTGGTCGATCAGCGGAATCCCCGTCAGCGATTGGCTGGATTTCATGTCAATCAATATCAACCCGCTTCACGTTTCCAATTGGCTGCCGAAGACACGAGAGGTAGACCTTTAATTCCGCCGGAGTAAAGCAACTACGAAAGAGAACTATTTGTGCATCTTAAAGGTATGAACTGCTTATTTACTGTATATTTTGTGCCATGTGTTAAGTTAACTTTAGACATTGTGTGCATGACGAGTTAGTCAGGGTCATATCACTTAATGTGCGACATCATTTGCAGATATAAAGTTAGTGTCCGTGACCCAGTTTGTTTATATTATATTCGCACGTTCGGACTTTCCCCTTAATACTATAATTTTATAAATGTATTATTTGCAAACTTTAAATAGCGAATGACTATTAGCAGCAAATGACTATCAAAGTACAACATTGTTCACAGTCAAATAAACAGTGTTGTTGTTTTCAAGTCACCCATGCTAATACCGATAGAATATTCAAAGTAACATGGTAAACAATATAGAGACTTCTAAATGAATGACTGTGGAAATATAAAACCAACTTTACCCCTGTCTTGATTGAGGTAAAGATGGTTTTATATTCACACATTCGTTCAGTGACAGCTCCATACATTGTTTACCATGGTACTTTAAATATTTGGACTGAAATCACATGTACAGTAAGTATGACTTCAAAACAACATTAGCACTATTTAATCGACTGTGAACAATGATGTACTTTGATGGTTGTTGGCTGTTAATATTATTTTACTATTTAGAATTTCCAATTAATAATTTTCTGAGATTATATTATTAATGAGAAAGACTGCATGTGCGAATATAAAACCATCTTTACCTCTATTTAAACTTGAGCTTGTCCACTGTAGACTATTTATTATTATTGTTATTATTAGTAGTTGTAGTAGCAGTAGTAGTATTAATATTATTGACAACATAATAATTGTTATGGTATACTAACCAATAACAAGGTGGTCAGTATGTCATTAGGGACACTTTTAGGGAGGGAAGTAAACTGTGTCATATATTTGACAAAAGATTAAAAGGGCAAGGTTAGCTTAACATCACAAAATATTCAATATTAGGTTAGTACTTTGTGTTTCAGTCAGGAATGTTTTGACTATGCAGTATTTTTCCCACAGCATCGATGCTTCACAAAAGGATGGATAACTGGTATGCCGTAATGATGGTCACAGAAATCCTAAATGAAGGCAGTAGTTCTGTTTCTGTTTACTACAAGGGATATCTTTCCAAATGAGGAAATTACCCACAACTATGGTGATTCTTCTTGGCCATGGCATTCAAGGGTGAGTGTGTGCTCTCTTTAAGACTATTTTCTATTATCAGAGGACACGTTTGTTGTATTGTGTTGTGAAGAAATAACTTAATTGCTTGTGCATGTTTTTATATTTTTGTTCTATTCCTAAATGCGCACACAATAGTTGCGTATGTGACAGTAGATAATTACACTTTGGTTATTATTGTTTCTACTTATATTAGTAGTGGTAGCCACTTTGTACATCTTCTTTAAAAAGATTAGCAAAATTCAAAAACATGCACATCATGGAAAGAGAAAGTGAATACAGTCTGTATTGAAGAGAAAGTAAGTTAACACTTCTTAACATGATCTGAGTTTACATCCAAAACTGCAAATGTAACTTAAGTGGAAAATTAAAACAATGCATTAAAACATTTGCAAACAATCACAGTTTCCATCAAATGGGTCAAAAAGAATAAAATCATCTTTTTGCAAATATTTTTGCCTTAATCTTGTGTTTTTTTTACTCACTTTTACAGGAATTGCATGAAGCATCATTGGTGACTGAGATTGAATGCAGTTTGAAAACTTCCATGTCAGGGAAAGAGAAAGTAAGTGAATTTAAAGAGCGCCTGTTATGCATTATAAAAGGTCATATATTTTGGTTTTGCGGTCTTTATCAACAGGCTGATCTGCATGCAAGGTCAAAAACACTTTTATTATCCTAAAATATGCATTTATTTTTACCTAATTATCGCAGTGACTCCCATATGATTTATTCAGCGATTCATTTGTTTCCAAACCCCTCCTTTGCGTGAAGCTAATCTAGCAGTGATTGGTCTGATGACCCAGTCTGCTGTGATTTGGTCGACTGCGTTCAGCATGAGGTGGAGAGAAACACCCACCACGGTTATGAAGGAGCCACAGTGCAGAGTATATGTGTGGGCACTATGGAGGAGTGCATTAAAGTATTGCAGTTAAACACCAACATTAGTAACCATAACCCCAAGTAATAACAGTGACAAACATTCAGTATTAATCCACACAGTGGCAAAAGTTGAACTATTCTGAAAATTGACTGCAGCATATGTGTATGAACAGCTGATTGTGCCCATAGCAATGGCAAACAGCAGGGGATTGTGAGTTCAGAAACTCATTTAAATCGGTAAAGGAAGAAGCAGGCGTTGAGTTTTAAACATGGTTTGGACACAATAGGTAAACAGCCCATACAGATTTAACCTGAGAGATACAGTACAAGCACTGATCTATAGTAAATACGTGATTACAAGCTGTGCAGGGTGATTACAAGTTACAACACACAATTAAATACATATTTTGCAAACTACACAAAATGCGGCTACTATTTTAATCACATCTACAGGTAGTGATCCGGAGGAAGAAGAAATTGGTCCATATGAACTGTGAATGATTTATAATAATCACTCATTTATAATGTCGCTCGTGTAGCCAATAGGATTATAGCAAAAACTAAGCACTGTGCTCAGCCATAGTTCATTAAACTTGAACCTTTGGTTCATTAAGATCATCTTTAATATAAGATACTCTTTAATATAATATGACTTTCCTGAATTTTAAAGCCTGAATACAAGCACCACAACTAAAAGTCACTAGGCTATAAACGAACTATACCATGATCGTCACCTCATCACCATCAACCTGTTCACTGTGAGATATTTCATTTTCAACAGCACCTGTAGTCTCATTTAGCAACTTCTTAGCAACCAGCTTTACAAAGACACCTAACAGCTTTAAAAAAATCACAAATGTGGTGTAACTGGTGTGTTTTATATCTTAGAATAAAACATGAATGTATTTTAATAATAATAATAGCTTTTATTTTTAGGCGCCTTTCAAAGCACTTAAGGAAACCTTACAGCAGATCACAAGCACATAATAAATATACAAGCATTAAAATTGATAATCAGCATAATATTAAACCAAAAAATCACTAAAGGCTATCATAAACAAAAACATTTTTATCTGAGATTTAAAATCAGAACTAGAGTCTTAGCCCGTAGACTAGTTGACGACAAAGTTGTTTTTTTTTTTTTCATTTAGATTGTTTTATCTGTCAAATGAAGCTCTGTTCTTTACTTTTATTTAAAGTATAGGCCTAGGATTGCATTACTTTGCGTACATTTTTATAGTTTATAAAGCTATAAAATGAAAGTCTAAAGATAACTCAGTTTGGTGTGGAGTTATCATATGCATAAATCATTTAAGTCAATCAGCATTTGTTTGATTTGTAGATTAGGCTATGCAGGCTATTTTAGAAATGGATCTTTTATAAGGACTATAATTAACTGTAATTCTTCAAATGAAGAAAGGTTTAGCTATTTGTTGATTGTATTTATGATGTTGCCGTGTTGAGCACACTCAGAGCAAGTGAAAACCCCAACGCTTCGACTTCCACTTCTTCTTTCCACTGCTTCTTTCTCAACTTGTGCAAATACATGAAGGTGTTTATGATGCAGATCCAGGACAGAGGCAATCACCAATAGCGTTAGTTTGGCATCAACTTGTCTGTGTCAAACTGTGACAAGTCTTTTCACTATTTTCATTATGCTTCTTTTATCAAAATATGTCTGTAGGCACGTGTGGTTGCACATATTATAATGAGTTAACAAATAGCCCTATGTGTTGGAAAATAATAGTACATTTTAATTGTTTAACTAATACCATAAATTGGTTAAAAATGCATCCTTTCAGTTAACGGTTAAACGATTAATATGAATATCTCTAGTTTTCCTTCTGACCCCCATATTTGAACACATTTGTTGAATAGAGTGGTGGGATTATGATGTCACTTTGTAGACAAACCAGCAGTCAGCATCACGCTGGTTCCTTTGACAAAAAGCCAATAGGCAAATGTAACTTATGTGGAAAATTAAAATAATGCATTAAATGTTTCAGACAATCACTGTTTAACTCAAATGAGTCAAAGAGAATAAAATAATCTCTTAGCAAATCTTCTTGCCTCAATCTTGTGTTTCTCTTTCTCACTTGAGTGAATTTAATTTCCTTCTTGATGCTGACCATGTTAAAACCTCAAATCAGAAAAGATTGGCACAGTATGGAAAACACAAATAAAAAAGAAAGTACTGATTTCTAAATTTACTTTGATTTGTATTGAATTGCAGATAATCCAACAGACATTATTTAATGTGTTTAATAAACACATATTCCAATTTTGGTTCTTGCAACATATTTCAAAAAAAGTAGTGACAGGAGGTTAGGGCTGTCATCAGATAAAATGGTTAAATGATGTGAAGTGAAACAGGTTAAAGAGGACACAGGTACTGGACTGGCCTGTCTGCAGTCCCGATCTGTTTCTAATAGAGAATGTGTGGGCATTTCCAAGCATAAAATGCAACAACAAAGACCCCGTACTGTTGCCCACTTTGACTTGTTTGCAGTAAGAATGGTACAAATTTACACATGAAACACTTCATCACTTGCTGTCTTCAGTCCCTAAACATATTTTTAAGTGTTGTAAAAAGGAATGGCAACATTACACTATATTTTATTAGCAATTTCCATACTGTTTCTGATTTGTGGTTGTAGAAGGACGGTTGACCATCATTTTAGGCTGTTTTTCCTGGGCAGTTTTTCTCAAAAATGTTATTGCGATGACTCTCTTTGAGTACAATATACCCCTCTTTGTTAATTTATAATAATGACTAGTGTATTGGGGGATGGGCATGACATGGTCATGAATTGTGTGGACAGTTTGGCCTTGTGAGGACACCCATGTTTTACACAATTGATGAATAGAGTTAGGTCTGTAATGAGTTCACTGTATAGTGTATTGGGGGATGGGCATGACATGGTCATGAAATGTAAGGACAGTTTGGCCTTGTGAGGACCCCTATATTTTACACAATTGATGAATAGAGTTTGGTTGGTTATGAGTTCACTGTATAGTGTATTGGGGGATGGGCATGACATGGCCATGAAATGTAAGTACAGTTTGGCCCCCATGTTTTACACAATTAATGAATAGAGTTTGGAGTTTATGCTAACCGTTTGCTCTCTTGTACAAAAACTTAAATAACAAATCAAATGAAATTGAAGATGTTGTCCATGCATTTTTCATCCATTGCTTTTCCCTAATGCCTGAAATTGGCCAGGTAATAGTAGTTCATTAGTTAAGTGTACTTACTTAGCAAGCTTTCTGACCCAATCTTGTGCCTTTCCTTTTCACATTTACAGGAATTATGTGAAGAGTCATCAATGGCGAGGATCAAATGCAGTGCAGAAACTTCCACATCAGGGAAAGAGACAGTAAGTGAATTTAATTTCCTTCTTGGTATGAGCAGAGTTTCTATCCAAAACTGCAAATAGAACTTATTGCAAACAAAATAATTTCGTCTTTGACAATGACAATGTTAGATGTAGAAGGGTTAAGTGCCATTTTAGGCTGTTTGTCCTGGGCTGTTATCTCAAAAACGTTGTTGTGATAACTCTATTTGAGTAAAATAGACCCCTTTCTAATAGGGATATCAAATTCCACAAAATCCTGTGATCCATGATCATTTAAATTAGCGATAAATTATCAATTAATCATTAATCACCACTCCATAAACACAATAGATAAAGTTTGGAATGTTTTGAAGTATTAAAGAAATCACCCAAGCTTTTTCCATTTGGAGACTTGCAGTAATTAATACCTTAGTTCTTATAAACAGTCATTTATAACATACATAATTAATGAATTTGTTACTGAAGAATAAAAACAATACACACTATGCTCTTTGCATAAAGATCACTGCAAAATAAGCTTAGTGCTTATTTTATGTATAAACTATAAATATAAAAAATAAAGAAATTAAGTAATGGAACATTATATGTAAAAAATCTAAATGTATATACAGTAGTAGGCTAGGCTAAATAAAGGTGCCTTAAAGCTTTTGTGAAGAACAGACTATATATGATAGGTGACACAATCTCAATAAACACTTGGTGCTTGATCTCATATAGGCTACATTATTTTAGGACATTCGATACGACATTGATAGGATCTGTTGATGTCAAACTTATGTTTCCTTTTTAATATTAAGACATTTCCTCTGTAATGCTACTATTATCCCTCATCACCAGTAAAATAACCAGCCTTTGTATTTCATATATTTTAAATGTAGATTTTCCTGCCAGTTTGATGCAGGCAAATGAAATTTAGGCAAATCTTACTTGTTACTCTTTCACCTGAACTCGCCACGAGTAAGATGGAGAAAATGAAAGCACATCAGCATAGATGAAAATTCAGATGCTTAAGACATAATCTGTAAAATAATGACTTATTATAAACTTTGTTAGTTTTAAAGTTTGTAGCAAATATAGGACAGAGGTTTGGGATAAACCAATTACAGTAGAGCATTAATTAAATCCTTATTTTTCAGGGAGTGAAACAAATCAACCAATGCAACAGGCATGAACATAAATGTACACTTCATATATTTTCCTTGAAAAATAATGTACATTTTTGTTGGTCAGTTATCTAGAAAATAAAGAATGAATAACATTTGTGGTGAAGTGTTTCAAAAGAAGTACTGCTATTCAGACCCAAAACACATTTTTTT